TAGTACTGCTCCATTGCAGGAATACTCTCAACCACAGGTTAACCCAGGTGTTCACATGTCTGTGTCTGTCACCTGGCTAGAAGTGAAAATTCACATCAAGATCTGAAAGTCATGCGTCCAGTGCCTTATGTATTGTTCAAAAACCTCATATTAAAGAGAGATCCAAATTCAGCATGAAAAATTATTCAAAGACACACCCATACTTGTCACTGTCACATTCCTATTACATTGTGTAAGAAAAAAACAATATCTGACAAAAATAAAATAAACACAGACACATGAATGAAAGAACTGACTACAATACTTTTGCATTTATCTGATATTCTAAGGTCAGATAAGCAAAACATATGTTCAGTGTTATTATGGAAATGTGACATAAGGAAATATAATAGTAGTTTTCTTAAAGAAAGCTGAAGAGAAGAACAGCTGTAGGTATATTCTCAACAGAGATGGAACAACACAGTAGTTATTGAAGAGAAATATAAATATTTTCAAATTCCACTTTCTATCTTCCTGTTTATTCTGGCCACGGAAGTCCTTGCCATCTTCCAACATAGGTACCTTCTCAGTAACATGAAAGACAATTACATTGCTGCTGATGAAAATGTAGCAGTGTACAAGGTAAGTAGGTTCATTTTCTGTCCAACTGGTTAAGGAGAATTTTTGACCCTGCCAGCTAATTTAGAATCTCAGGGCGTGGAGGGAATTTATGAAGCTGAAGATTAATAACCACACTCTATGCAATTCTTGACACACTGAAAAATATTTAAAACAGTGTTTGCATGGCTGTTAGGATCTTTGGGTTTTGAAGAACAGCCCAAGGTAAAAATTTGTTTTGCATTCTAGGATATAAAGAGGATAATTTTTGGCTTCAGTAGAATATAAACCTTAAAGCAAAACATCTATGCACATACACAGATTTTCCCCTTCACTATAAATAGTCTTCAACATGTAGACTGATGTCCTGCTGATTCAGGTTGCTGAAGAAATGCAATTTCTATTTAAATCTCGTTGGGGAATTATAAATTTTTTTTGGGAAGTAATTGGCAAAAATTAAAAGTCTCTACATGGCTATTAGTTCAGAAAACAGTCAAATGCCTAGAAAGAGGGAAAACATTTCCATTCCTTTGTGGAATTTCAAGTTCTGGCTGTTAAGAGTCTACTAAGGTAAAAGTTGATGAGAAATTTAAATTTTTGGATTATTGACAAATGGTAATCAAGCATCAACATAATTTATTTCTAAGTCTTCAACTAACTCACAAAATCTGAAAGATCAGATATTAATTTCTTGGGGTGTTTTGGGCTTTTTAATCACCTTGTCTTCTGTGGTCATAATCTTGAAACAAATCCGGTAAATCAAACCCACGTGAGCTTTGCTTAAATTTGTTCTCATCTCTTCTCTCCAGGATGCAACAAAATCAAGTGAATGTATGCCTGCAGTTTTTCTCTTAGTGACAGCAGTAATTAGAGATACGGAGTCATAGAGTCATAGAGTATCCTGAGTTGGAAGGGACCCAGAAGGATCCTCAATTCCAGCTCCTGGCCACGTACAGCACCACTCCCAAGAGTCCTACCATGTGCCTAACAGCATTTTCCAAACACTCCTTGAACTCCGTCAGGCTTGGTGCTCTGACCAGTTGCCTGGAGAGCCTGTTCCAGTGCCCAAACACCCTCTGGATGAAGAACCTTTCCCTGATATTGAACCTAAGCCTCCCCAGACAACTCCAGGACATCCCTTTGGGTCCTGTCACTGGTCACCACAGAGAAGAGATCAGTGTCTGCCCCTCCTGTTCCCCTCACAAGGAAGCTGTAACTGCAATGAGGTCTCCCTTCAGTCTTCTCCAGGCTGGACAGACCAAGTGACCTCAGTCACCTCTCATACAGCTTCCCCTCCAGGCCCTTCACCATCTTTGTAGCCCTCCTTTGGATGGTCTCTAACAGGTTTACATCCTTCTTATATCATGGCACCCAAAACTGCCCCCAGTTCTGGAGGTGAGGCTGCCCCAGCTCAGAGCAGAGCAGGGCAATCCCCTCCCTTGCCTGCCTGGCCATGCTGTGCCTGATGCCCCCCAGGACAGGGTTGGCCCTCCTGGCTGCCAGGGCACTGCTGGCTCATGTTCAGCTTGCCATCGACCAGGACCCCCAGGTCCCTTTCCATGGGGCTGCTTTCCAGCCTCTCATTCCACAGACTGTCTGTATGTTCAAGTTGCCCCATCCCAGGTGCAGAAGCTGGAACTTTCCCTTGTTGAACTTCATACAGTTGGGGATTGCTCAGCCCTAATTTATCAAGTTCCGTCTGAAGGGCCTCTCTGCCTTCAAGGGAGTCAACAGTCCCTCCCAATTTAGTGTCACTGGAAACTTATTCAGTATTCCTCCAAGTCCTGTGCTCAAGCAGTTTATGAAGATATTGATGAGCACTAGGCCTACAATGGATAACTAAGAGGAACCTTTGTCTAAAAGACTAAGGCTGATCAGCTTTGACATCCATTCAGAGATGAACATTCTCAGTCAGATTTCATTGTGAATAGAGTTTTCAGGCACTTCTAAGTTTTGAGGACCTCATTGACTCTTTAAGACTCCTTTTTTTCCCCGGCTTTTGAAAGAGGCTGTTATTCTCCTTTAAATGACATAGAAGTCATTATTTTCAAGATCTTTTAAAGATCTTTTCAAGAGCTTTTCAATCTGAAGAGAAAAAATATTATCATTTATAATAGTGATTATCATTATTGTTATACACACACAAAAAAAAGTGGGTTTTTTTTCAAAATGTGATTTGAGGAATAAAGTTTCGTATAATTTTTTTCCTCCTCTGTTTAGACTGTGCCATCTTAAACAGTAGATGATATATCTTCTGATGTCAGGAACTTAGTCTATTAAACTCTACAGCAGTACAGTTGCACTTCAGTATTCACTAACAATATTGTGGAAGTCCACACTGACACCACTGTAATTGATTTTGCTCAGAAAGCTTGTTTTAATTTCATTTAATATATATAGGCACTTGAGTTAGAGTATATAATTTTCATTATTTTTGCAACCCTAACAAAGTAATTGTTTGTAAAAAAAAAAATCTTTCAAATTTAGTCTGTTACAGATAATTTTTTACTAAGACTCTTCACATTGACTTTTTTATACTTTTGCTGTATATAGTATGAATCAAGAAATATGTAATAGAGATTTCCATCACTGTCCATACTACCAAGCTGCTATACATTTGTGGCAAATAGCTTTGACATTTCTGATTTTCAAAGTGAGAATAATGTGAAATTTGCTCTGTAGAGATTTTCTGTTGATCTTTTCAGACATAATCTTCAAGTGCAGGTGGGCATGACATACCTCGTGACACATTCAAACTATTTTACCAGATAATGCAATGTGTTCATTGAAAAGAATGACACTTGGCAAAAAAGCCTGTACAGTTTGTTCTGACACTCCCTGAAGCCTTTTCTAACTCATTCTGTGATACAGTAGTATCCACCAAATCAGCTTTCAAGTTACAGCTCAACAAACCTCTCAAATGTGTCAGTCTTATGTTTTTTACTTCCAATTAAGTGGGCTTTTACTCACTTGGAACAACTACTGTAGTAGTGGAACCATTTTCTGAATGGTTCAGCCTGCAGTGTTGCTGACAATCTATGGAAATTGGTGTAAATATTTTCCTCCTCGTCCCCAAGTGAGTCTACCTTTTGCTCAACCAATTTCCAGTTTCCACAAAATCATTTTGATTGTGTTTTTGTAGTAAGTTTCTGTAATAATGATTTAGAGGGGATTCTTTTGATCAATACACATTCAGTTGCAGTTATCCTCCAATGTGTCATCTGCTGCAAGATAAGCTTATTAATTTTGTACCACATAAATCATATATATAACGTATAACAGTTTCAAAACACAGAAAAATGAATATGTTCCACAATTAAATCACTAGGAGTAGTCTCCGATGAAAAGAGCTACTAACTCAGTCTCACTAAGTCCTACAATGTGTCTCTTTTGCTGTATGCCAGAGCTAGCAAAAAAGTCTGAAGTGAATTAATCCTATTGTGTTGTCTTAAAAACAAAATAACTAAATCCTACACCCTTCCACTTCCATTTCATGCAGTTAATTTTTTGTTCTGAAAATTGAAATGAAACCTTGTTAGTTATCACTATAAGTTACTTTTCCCCTTCTACAATATCCTTTGAGAACATGAATACAACTGTCCTTTATTTGGAGAAAAGTGGGAATAATTATTGTTCAAACAGCACAAAAACCTTCCATCATGCATATGCTCAACCCCACAAGTGCAAATAGAAGTCCTCCTACTGATCAATCTGCTTGGCTTTGGTGATATGAAGAGTAGCAAAGGGAGGGCCTCTTCTGGTCCAGTCTAAAGAAAATCACTCCGATAGAGACCAACTTATCTGAGCAACTAGCTGGTTCAGTATTCTGCTCTGAGCCAGGCTGTGACCAACATGACAGCCTGGCCATCATCTGTCATCCCCTTGGTGACAAGCCTGATAATTCTCCCAAGTCCACTCTGCAAATGCAGCTCCAGCCTGCACCAGTCAAACTCATTTTATGCAGGTACACAATCTCCAAGTAGATACGCCCATACAAAGGAAATGTTTCCTCCATGAGTTTATTGATAATGAATTTAGTTACCAAACCAAAGTCCACTTCCTATAAAGGCAGAGTAATTCTGTTGACTTAGAGCCATCTTTTGCTGGCTCAAACTTTACACATTTTCTTAGTGTAAAATTATAAATATGTATGTAAAAGTATAAAATTTTAATTAATGATTAAAATTTTATTAAAATTTATACAATTCAATCAAATTCTAAGCACAGCAAAATGAATTCTGTAAATAGAATTTCAAGTAATTAATGTAATAGTTATTTTAAAAAGTTGACTGGTGCAGACTATTCTTCTCCCTCAGAGTGAAAAAGCAAGTACTTTTGCATTATTTGTAGTGGTATAGAGACATTATAATTAATACAATACAAAGAGTTCTTTTTGCTTTGCAGGTGCCTATAAGCAACCTCAAGGGAATATTCAAGAATCCTTGGTGTGTTTAGAGATTTATTGCAGGAAGGCTGTATGATGTAAGTGCCTTTCATTTCACTCTCTTTCAGCTATGGTGCCTTTTGTTGCTTGCTTATACCTATAAAACACACATGCCTCTTTCTCCTTTTTTTCCCAGCCGTTCTAAAATACTTAATCAGAGATTCAAATGAGCCTGTATTCTACTCCACATGCACAGGAAACTTTAAAAGAGCATTATGAAAGTTGCAAAATCAAAACCTCTGGAGCTGCTTGAGCTATTTTATAGCTATTATCATACTGAGTTATACAATTATATTTTGGTTTTCCATAGACAACTTTAATTTCTTATCCCAGAATCCTTATCTTACGAGTTTCATAACCTGCTAAGTCAGATTTTTAAAAAAATTTTAGGTTTTTTCTACACAATTAAAGAAGCAAATGAAGCTCAAGATCTGCTTGTGTGGCACCGTGCAGATTGCAGCATTGCCATTCATTAGCAGGATTAAAATTTTTAATTACAGAAAGGAGGTTCCTACAATTCCGTTAGTGAGTAAAAGTATCAGTAAGTCATTCCCTCCATGAATTCCATAAATGGCATGGAAAGAGGGTGTCATTTCAGGATTGGTATAAATGAATGTAGGGCCAGAGAGTCCAAAAAAATCAAGAGTGGACACATTGCCTGCATTCCCATCTGTCTCTGCTGCAGCTTCTGCCATTTTAACTTTTGTCAACATGAGCACTTGAGTGGCAACCCAGTAAATCAGATCAGCTTGCTGGTCTCACTGAAAGCTATCTCTGCAAAATAGTGTTCTGTGTCTAATTAGCTCTGTGAGCTGCATCTCCTCTTCCTGTGGGTCCACGCTCGTTAATACTGAAGCAAGGAACGGGCAGCTAGAGACAAGAGAGAATGCAGGTTCATTCTTTTCTGTGGGAATATGATCTCAAATCCACTGAAGACTAAATACTGACTTACTCAAACCTTAGTGATTTTCACAAGTGTTTGCTGACAGCAGAAGAATGTGAACAGTCAAGAAACCTGGGCTCAGGTCTAAGCGCTGCCAGGGTGTGATCTGCTAGAGGACTTTGTCAACCACAGGTAACACAGGAGTGTCCCCATCCTCTGAGATCTGTCTTGCAGGTCCTTTTTTTTTTTTTTCCTCTTTAGAATCTGGATATAGTGTCTCTGTCATTCACTTACTGCCAAAGTGGTGTGACTGCAGTTGGAGGATTCTTCTTGCAGCTCTGGACCATTCTGTGTTTTTGGCTGTGGCTGAGCCACGTTCCTGCTCTGGTCAGAGTGCTTAGCCATTTGCAGAATTAGGAGCCCTGGCTCCCTGCTCCCTATTCTATATAATTCACTTCAAACACACACACATGCATGCACACACACACACACACACACACATACACATACACAAGATCACAGCCGCTTCTCTCAGTCCTGCTACAGTTTTCCTGCTACAGCATTGTTGTCCTTGACACTTCCAACCTCTCTGTCTTTCATTCCTTCAACTCTTGCTCCAGTTTCTTTATTTAGTCTCAGGGTTCCCTTCAACTTCCCATTCTGTTTCAGCCTGCTCATCCTCTAGCTGTCTTAGTCCCAAACTTGCTTTCCTGAAGCTGATACCCTTTTCTTAATTTACCACTAACAGCAACCAGCTGTTGTCCCCAAAAGTCCATCCAAACTCTCCCAGTCCAAGTGCTTGCTACATTTTGGCATTTCAGACAGATTTCCTATTTTTTTCCATGTATTTCATTCAGGTTCTTTCTCTGGTACTGACTTGTCAGTGCAAGACTATCAAGATCACAGCCAGGAGTCTTCCTGTTTCCAGCTCTGATGCCGACTCCTGCAGTGTTCCACAGCAACCTGGAGCAGCAGCGACAGGGATTGTCCAGCTCAGCACCTCAGCACAGAAAAACTCTTAAGGGACTGTAGCTGTCAAATTGTGGTGAGGCACTGCTGGGCATGAGCAAAGAGTGGTTCTCATAAAAGGCTTATCATTGTGGCAGTTCATCAGGGAGATTACAAAAGGCTCATCCCTGACACAGGGGTTATTTTGCTGCCAAATTTGAGACACTCACCCACATAAGAAATACATAAGAGAATCTCAAATAAATAATTTTAGTATTTTAAGCAGGTCACAATAATTCAAAATAAATGCATTGAAAAGAAGGCATCACTTATCAACTGGTAATCTATTTATTCCTCAGAGGAAAGTTAAGAAAAGAATACATAATACATTATTTTCCGGTGAGGCTTAGAAAAAAGCTGTTTAGTAATCATCTAACATTTTTCACTATAATGGTGAGAGGGAGACATTCCATTAGTCACTAATGAATAGTTATTTTACAGTGGAAATATAGTATAAGTTTTTGTCACAACAGTTTTATTTCTATTTTAAAACAGTTACATGCTAACATATTTTATTTGCATTTGCATAGCAGAAAATACCAGCTACTGTCAGCTACTGCATTTTATCTGAGAGCTGGTTTCCTAACAAGCATCCTGGCTTTGTCCAGGTCTTTTCCACTGGAGTCTTGCTACCTGATTAAATCCTAACTGATTTTCTACATGGAAGAAAATTGCTCTTTATATTATTTATATAGCTGTCTGTGTATGATAAGGCACTCTCTCATAAGGAAATTCCTCATTTTGAAAATGAAAGAATGTTTATATCTGGTAGCTTGATAAATTACAGCTCATGTGATATATTTTATGACATCTAATGACCTATAAATCTGTTAAAAATTTTCAAATTAAATTAACAGAAGGCTAAAGATCTCAGAGTTCCCTAAAATGTAGTGAAAATCAGCAGCAAGGTATCTAATCCCATCATGTTGCCTCCTGGTGAAAGACTGTAGTGTGGAATGTTCAGGGACAAAGGACTGAAGCATATAGAAAAGCAAGCTTCCTGAGTACTCCTCCTGCTCACTAAAGAATTTATTTCTACATAGCTTAACCCCCATCTCAAGGTAGGCAATTTAAGAAGTAATTTTTTCTTACAGAGACCCTCAGTAGTTGCTTGACGTGTTCAATTAAGTGTTTATTTTAACTTTCCCCTTATTTTTAAAAAACCTTAAAAGTCATCTGGACTCAAATTTGGACTCACCCTTTTCCAGAAGGTTTGTTTCAGTTAGAGATTCTGGGGGAAGTTTCTTCTGAAACAAAATATAAAACCTTTGCGTATTTTTCTCCCTCTGTGTTACATTCCAGTAATTTTGGACAAAGAATTGATTTTGGCAAAGTTATGACTCTTTCTTGAAAAATTCACTCAGTAATTATTAGCCTTTCTTTGGAAAAGCCTAGAGAGCATTGCTGGATAAGTACAATAACACTCTTCTGTTTCACATACTGCTCCTTCATACGACCTCCTCTTCGTCTCAGCTCATTCCTGCTGAAAGTTTTAGGAAATCTAAACACTAAATAAAATTCCTGCTCCTTGCTGTGTGTGTATTATATATGTCTACACATAGAAACACTGATAGGAGGAAAATAATCACTCCTTTGCTGTCAGTGTTTCCCTAGCATTACTTCAATCCCCTATTTCTTGAAGGGACCCCTTCAAATCTAAGGTATTTATTAGTATTATAGACTTTCAGGGACTTTAGGTGTATGTACAGCTCACATTTGGGAGTAATACAAAGACTTACTTAGGGAGTAATACAATACACTTTTTAGGCTGAACTTTAGTAGGTAAGTTTTGTGGCAATCAGTTTCCTTCTTTTCAGTAAAGTGTTGCGAATGAGGATGCACACCTGGGACTTACCCATGGGATGCCACATGAAAGCTTCATGACAGACAGGGGATGGTTAGCTGAGTAAACTGACTGAGTGAACTTTTTGCATGTGATAACTTTTCCATCTGGACAATTCCTGGAAAGCTGGCCAGAAGACAATTGCTCCAGTGAAACCTGGATGTCACAACTGCTGTTATTTATACTGTTATATATGCTGTTATACTGCTGTTATTGACATGCAACTTTCCTACCATTTAAAATATATACCCATTTCATCCAATTTCAAAACAAAACTGTATAAACATGGGGATGAGGAGTGAAGAAGAAGCATACAGACATGCATGTCATTGAGAAAAGGTGAAATGCATCACTCACAGGGTTCAGAAGATGTATGTGCCAGCACAACATTACTTCAGAACATAAATTCAGGTTCTGGTATTCAGATCTCCAATCATACTTCAGTTCTGCTTATTGCCAGAAACTTGGATTAGGGTAAAAAAGCACAATAATTTTTAACCTCAGATTAGTTGCTGGTCCATGTTGCAACACAGCCTCACAGTCTTATTAGCACAACAAAACTGGGCAGTGAACTTCTATGAAAAATGCAGAAATGAATGGCTTGGGGTGGGGTAGGATAAAAACTCTTCCAGCTGGTTTTGCCACCATGAGAAAGGTTTGTGTGCTGAAGTCTAAGATGCACTACAGCAAAGGCTGCACATAGTAAACTGACAGGCCATGTGGCAAACATCCCTGATCATTACAGTAAGAATAATGACAGTATGGGAGAGACCTAGATCCTTTACTTGATTTCTGAATGGATAATATTTAAGAAAGGGACCTTATCCCCTCTGGAGTAGCTATGAAATAGCTCATACTTACCAGTAGGAGAGGTATTGAGAGGAGTCAGTAGAAATGAACAGAGATTTTCACATGAGTTCTTGGGCGTTAAGACAACCTGTCCACCTAATGTGTTCACCTATCTTTGTTCAAAGTCTGACAGTTTTCCAAACAACTGCACTGTCAACATGGAATTTAAAGCACTCTTGATAATAAAATAAGCTGTTTCCTGAGGAGAGCTACTCTTAGGAATGCTTGGATTAAATGTCTCAAGATTTTCCTGCAGAAGAAAATGATTAATTGTCTGGACACCTCAGCATTCAGTTATTTATATAGACTTCAGAACACATTTAAAGTTGAAAGGTGTTGTACTGTGGGCATTACCTATTGGAACTGCCTTATTCAAAAGATCTTAAGTTTCTACCAGTTGTTCTGCTTCAGCCACTACTATTGCAATTTTCAAGACAATGCGTATATATGTAAATCAAGCATCTTGTTTATGAAAATTAGTCCCTTTGAGCAGAAAGGCAACTGAAGCAAATTACCTTAAACTTACACTTTTAATTCTTTCCTAGGCACATTAATTTTCAGAATAATCTGGATATGCACATTGGTTAGAAAGCATTTTGAAATATTGGCTCTTAAATCTGAATAATTATTTTCAGTACAGATGTTCCTGAAAGAGCTCCTTCAGAATGCAAACTACACATATAAAAATTCTTAACAATGGCAAGACTTGAATTCATACTATCCAAGTCCTATTCGGATTTGATGACTTCAGCATGTTACCATAAGTCACCTATTTGTTCTGTACTAGCCTGTCTTGCAAACAGGCTTGTAACTGGACTCCTACTCCTGTTGTATGAACTGTTTTATTTGTGTCATTACCTAAATTTGACTCCCTTCTTATCTCTTCTCAGGATCTTTTAACATGCTGCTTTCCCTGTGGAATTTGACCAGATTTGAAACAAACTTATTCTAAGAAGGGTCAGCATTAAAATTTGGGCAAAAAATGTCTGATAATATGCAAGTATCTATGCTGTTTGATGTCATATGAGTGTTTTTAGAGGAACTGTGTTTTTATGGAGTCTTGTTCAGTCTCAGATTTTATCATAAACTTTGGCAGCATCCTTTGTAGGTTAAAACTATAGTATACTAACACAGAACACAACAGATATATAATCACCAACATCCAGATTTGTAATGCTCATTGGATCCAACCACCTGAGGTACTAATGTAATTTGTGATACTACATTGCATACATAGCATAAAACTTGATGTGACATGAGAATAAGTTTAGGAAGAACCTTATTACCTGTTGTCTGATAGGACAGTAGTTTTCACTGACATGCCTCTTCACACTCTTCCTGGGGAATAATGTAATGGTCTACATTGTTTGTGGTGCAATAATGAGGTGAGAGCTTGGGTCTCTCAGTGTAGTGCTGTTTTATTCCAATATTCCTTTAATACTAAATATCTTTCAGGTAAGAATAAAATTATCTAACTTTGAATGTATTCCAGGACTTAGCAGCCTTTAGCAGAGTTACCATCCTTCTGTTTTCAGCCTATCCCATATGCTGTCTAATGTCTAGAGAATATCCCTGGATATCAGCAGCACCTTTGCAGTGTCTCACACCTTCCTGCAATAGACTTCCATTGCAGAAGTAGTGAAACACTTCTGTCCCTGAATATACAGGTAGCAGATTCTGTAAATCTTTGTCCCTTGGATCCAGAACAACTGTGGAAAAGATAGATCAAGAGCCAATCAGAAAAAAAAATACTTTAGGGGCTTGAGTTGCCCAGCAGACTATGAAGAAGTGTGCATCTGGAAGGGGAACATGCATAGGAGCGCCCAAACTGGCTAGACCCTGCATTTGGCTCTTCAAATGTAAGTTATATCCAGCTGAGTGGGATGGATGGCTGCTTTTGCCTGTTTGTCTCTGACCAGATGAGCACAAACACCAGTGCCAATGATTAGCCTTTTGCCCTTGTCTAGCAATTTTCCCAGAGTAGCATCATAACACACGCAGCTTTCAGACCAGCCACAAGATTTGTTTGGGATGATTAGATTTACAGTCTCTCCTGAATAGTATGTGACTAAGGCCAAGCACAAAGATAGGTACATTCTCTACACCACACACAGTTTTGGCAAAGCATCTGTTTCTGAACATATCACATTTCTTTCCTGGTGTTTCTTCAGTGCCACAACTTCTAACCCATGTTTACTTCTTCTTCTCTATTGCTCAAAACTTAAAGGTACTTGAAAAGAGCCTAATATGGAATGACCTGTGTTTGCAGTAAAACAGGATTATTTTTAACTAATATATAAGCCATTTTAATAAGCAAATTTTACAATGATGACACATCTGGGAGGACAAAGCAGAAGTTAAGGCATAAGCCTGGGATAGTCGCCAACACAGGCATAAGTATCAGGTATGTAACATAGATAGTTTCCATATTCACTGAGTCAGCTTCCATACCCTTTGATGTAGGTTCCTACATCCTTAGGTAAGTCATCTACGCATTCCACGGCTGTGGGTATCATGCAACTTAACGGAAACTTCCCTATTCTTATACTAAAACCATTTAAGATTGGAACATT